ACGTGATCATCAACAAATCTGGACACAGAACAAAAGACCAAGTAATGGAACCATCCGACCGAACAACCAATCGTGATCAAAGGTCAACCCCGACTACCAGAAGGCGATTGACACACACACACACACAACCCTACTCAACCCACCATCGCCGCCTCATCGCTACGCGCACCCTAACAACGCATTGACCATGTCATCTAGACTGGTGTTGAAATGCCTGAACTCTGATTACTATTTCAGTGGAAACCAACAAACTTCTACGCTCCCTGCGAAAGCATAAAAGTCGGACAAGATTAATTCTCATCCGTCGTTAAGCAACACTGGACTTCTGCTTCTTCAAACCGTATGAGTGAAGAGACTCTGTTTCATCAAATTCACCACCACCAAGAGCCAATGTCGGTCTACTTTGAATATCTCAGAGCGGTTGAATGTGGTGAGTCAGTGAGTCTGATCTGTGTGTGTATCGCCCTACTGGTTAGCCTGGTAATCTCCATTTTAAGCGAACTAATCAAAACGAATACCTGTCAGTTGCCGTTTGCATTGAAGCAGTCAATACCATTGGCTCTGTTCTGGTTAGTCCAGGTCATGTCTACATATTGCATTGTGACTGAGAGATGGATCCAGAGTGTGGGACACGAGCACGCAAAGGTAACTCCCACAAGCATGTCAAAATTTCCTGATTCATCAGCAGTGAGCATCTCACGAAACTCCGAAGAGTCTCGAACCCGCGACCTTCCGGCTAGTAGTGTGAACACTTAACCGTTCGGCAACGGGCGGCTGATCAGCAGTGTGAGTAACTCGCACTTAGACAGGATATAGCGCCGCTCATCCTTCAATCATGTGATCCACATATCGCGTTCACACGTGTTGACTGGATCCTCGTGCAACGACTTCTCAGATAGAAGTTTCACTCATCGGGTGAGGTTTATTCTTCCACTGAGATACTTATAGATTGTTGGTAGTGTGAACAGATTTGGGATTTTTGTGGAGATTTCGTCGTGTAAGGAAAGCCGAGAAGCACTGTAGTTCTATCTGATTGGTTGTCAACCCATTACAGTTGTTCGGTGCATGCCACCGAGTCGGCAGGTGCGGATCTAGATGTAATACACTACTCATAAGTTTGCTGAATACTCTTCGACAACCCACGACAGAATTCGCTCTTCTTGGGACTCATCAGATACGGTTCTGTTTCATAGTGCTCGTACCATCGTTATTTGTCATCAGACTGCCTAAAGGCATCTAGGCTTTTGCCTCCAAACCTGGGATGCCATGCGTATACCTAAGTTACGAATCAAGGTTCTTTCAGACAATGATGATACCAAATCGCCTCAAATACTCCAATAATAAATAAACGTGGAATACGAAAAGACGACGCTTGCAACCCAACTCAAGTGGATTGCAGAGAAACTGCTAGAGTGCGGCTTATGCGTACACCTGAAATGGGAATAGGCAACAGTTCCGGATAGCAACACTTCCTCGTTCGAGAAGACGGTTTAATGATAGTGGAGATTAAGTGGTGCACTTCCAAGAATGTTTTTACCATACAAGCCTTAACGTCAAATGCCGAAGAACATTCTAGAAAAAAGGTAGGTCCTCTGTTGTCTACCGGCAAAGTACCTATTGATAGATACGGGCGGCACCTGATGGCAAACGAAGCCCCGAGGAAGTCTCAGTCGATTTTTATAGTTGTTGCCTGGGCTCCACGGGGTCAAGTGCATCTTACTTGTCTACTGCAAAGGTGTTTGCTTCCGGCACTTGCTTTCCCAAAGGTATTTATTCGTGGCAACGGAACGTTTACGCAGTGTGCAAATACAGGGCCTCAGGTCATAGGAATTGTGACTCGGTTTACAGCTATCCAGCTTGCCTGATTCTGAACTTTTTCGGCGGTATAAAGATGGAATAGCGCATTTCGCGAGACACGCTCTAAACAAAGACGTATGAGGCAGAAACGTAGTTCCAATAGACTGAACTATCCCGAACTACTGGGCACCACAACAGACCATAGCTGAGTTATTTCTCCCACGATGCTTGCGTTTGCTCCAGGGGGTCGAAACAGTCAGAAAATGCTATTTTTTATGGAGGATAATCACGTCTAGACAAATGTGAACACCTGCAGTCACAGTCACTCAATCTACATATGTGATATTTGATAGTTCAGTGGATTGGCTCCATCTGAGATTCGGTTTGAACTAATCCAGGAAAGAAGTCAGGTTAGCCAGTGTATTCTGCTGAGTTTAGTTTATTCGGCTGTAGTTTGGTATTCTGGAGCACTCCGAAGCCGTATTCAGTTCAAGCTTAACAGAAACATTATTCTTGGGGTGATGGCTTCCGTGGTTCCTGTCGGGCTGTACTCTTTACAGCAAAATCGATGTTTGACTGACGATTCTTCGAAAATTACACTCTGCACTGTGATTCTTTTTGACTTTAGCTTTCACACTTCTGGCATACATGGTGGCGAACAGGTTGCTGTGATCGGACAATGTTCCGTTGTACACTCCACCAACGCACAGTAGGAAGAAGCTGCGAGCGTGCGAGACAATCACCACTGGCGCAAGTTCCAACAGAACGCATTGCTGCTTGATCAACTGCTGCTGCCCGGTTTAAATGTGAACCGAACATCAATACGGTGTGACGGTTTGCTTACCTCAGCGATCCAGTGACCCGTACTGGCGGCATCCACAGGTTCTCCTACCAGGGTCTCTCTTACTAGGCTGGTCAGTGGATGGAGGTCCGGCAAACACAGTCTCCCCAACCCCTCTGGTTTTGTGAGGTTCGGGTTGGAACAAGAAGAGTTCTAGTGGCAAACTCTTCCTTAAAATATGGGCTACTCGAGTGGTCCAACGAAAGACTGCTCGAATTGCATAGGAATTTGGTTGTGACAGGAGATTTAACTGAATCCAGCTGAATTTCCCATTTATGATGGTCCCCTTCACAAAGAGTTTTCAGCAATCCTGTGAGTAGTTTCCAACTTAAGTAGTTTGTCACATTTAGACAACAACATATGCTGGGATTCCACATTTGGGTCCACACCCGACACATCCTTGAAGTCGGCTACTCACTCCGTATTAACTCAAAATTTATCATTTTAATTGGATATATTCAACCAACAATCTATCATTTTTATTGATTACTCGCTTCAAAGCGCTTATAAGTGTTCGGCCTTCTCTTTCTACCTACCCTGTTCAATGGGAATAACGGATATTCACACGGCAGTTTGGTCACCTTATATGGTCTACACTTGAACGCACCTATTGGGATTTGATGAACTGACTGCAATTTTTTTTATTAAACGAGGCAACAAAACGTCCCAGAAAAATAGTTTTTTTTTCAATCTACGTAGACAAAATAGACAGGAACAAAACAATCGATTTACTGAAAAAATCGATGGATGGGCATGATAAATTGTAACATCATGAAACAGCAGCTTATGAGGAGACGATTTCGTCGCTGACCAGCCTTATTTTTTCGCGCAAGCAAATTCGGGCGGACTGATTTGTCACTCAGTTCTATTGCACCCGGGTCATGTTGGACTGGATTGACAGATTCTTTAGCCAGTTTCAGGTGATTCACAAGTCTGCTCTCATAGTGAAATGTGCAGCCTTCTGGAAGCGTTTCTTTGAAATAATTCATGATGAGTCGAAGAGCGTCAGGTGGGCAGGCAGTGTATAGCAAATTGAACAGACATTCCAACTTTGAGCGGATTGTTCTACAGAGAGAGACGGGGGGAGAGACTGAAGTGGCGATCACAGTTTTGTTATAACAGGAATGTCGCGGAATGGACGAGAGACTTAATCGTCCACTTTAAAAGTCAGAATTGCAATCCGAAGGTAAGCCTAGAAATGGGATACTTAAATGGCCTCCCTCCTGACAGTTCACACACTTGGTTGTCTGCTTAGGGGGGGGGAGAAGTTGGACGATTTTTGTAGGGTTCTGCCATGCATGTAGCAGGCATAGTGTTCTAAACTATAAGAAACAATCACCACAACGGATGAAGTTGAGTACGGTGCTCCCCAACAAGAACCAATGGGAATCCCGCCATTGCAACCACTTCGACCCATAGTCACAACAGTCCATCGGTCACGTGGATACTTATCCTAGAAGTTGGACACTGTCAGAGTGGTTTCAGGGTAAGACATTATTGTCGGTCTGGTCAGCTGGGCAGTACTAAAAGGTTCAGAATGAACAAAGTCAAGTAAATTCGAATTGCAGGTATGGAAACTAAGGAAGTTGAAGAGGTTGCAGTCTGTGAGTAAGGTCAATTGTTTTAATCAACTTCCAGCTGGTAGGACAAACAGAACTCGGGATGCAGGTTACTCAGCTGGCTTCAAACGATCAAAGCAGCACTTTTTGGAAATACGCATTTGCTTGTAACACCTTTTTGGTGTCCTGCTACCGTGTCAACTTCAGGGCTGCGATACCTCCAGGTTGATCAAGCTTAGATAGGAGCAGTCGGGATGCAGAGGTTGGGTTTGAACCATGGATCTACAAGTTCTACAAGTTCTACAAGTTCACGCCTTTTGTATTGAGCTATCTCGAGTCCCATGTGGAAAAGTACCGCTTTGAAAACGCCTGAGACCTCAAATGGTGCCTAGAAACAACGAAGGATCTGGATGTTGGAGATCCTTGACAAGTGACGCCTCTGAGGAACCGACAACATTCGCTTTGTCATGCGACCTCCATCAAACTCCACGAATCTGTGTGGAAAAGTACCGCTTTGAAAACGCCTGTGTGACCTCAAATTGTGCCTAGAAACCACGGAGGATCTGGATGTTGGAGATCCTTGACAACTGATGCCTCTGAGGAACCGACAACATTCGCTTTCTCATGCGACCTCCATCAAACTCCAAGAATCTCCCTACACTCTGCGAAGGCATATAGGTAGCTCAGAGTTAGAATAAAGTTAACTCAAAGAGGGAAGCTTACACTGAGGAAGTCGTTGGCCGAGGGATCAGTGAACACGTGTGAATCTATGGTATTTGTCCTGTGACTGAAGGATGATTGACGCTTTTCGCAGCTATGCCCAGCGGCTTCCACTCCTGTGCACCGTTAAGGCTAGGTGCTTCCAATGCAAACGCTGCTTTAAGAGATCCTGCTAGCAGTGAAATGTGACGGGGTGGCGGTAAAAGTCAGGTCTAGGTAGCAGGTAAGCACGTTTGTATGTGTGATCAGTAACAATAAAACTGGGGCGGAAATGTCTTTTTGAACAAAACGGCCTCCTGAATTGATTGTAGGAATGCTTGGGACGGGTTGCTCACAGTAACTCAGATTATAAACTTATTATACTACGTCACGTTTTGACCTTAAAACTCAAACTAACTTTCTCTGCAAAACGCCAGACTTTCTTGAGCTGAATTTGGATCAAATATGTGCATTTTATTGGAGTTCCCACATGTGATCTTCAATCAATCCGCGTATTACACTCATTTGTAAAAAAGGGACTTGACTTAATCTCCTGTTATAACCAAATGTCAAGCGAAACTCGGTGATTGTGTCGATTTCACGTGCCTAAAGAACGACGAAATCGGTCGAACGGTTATCAGGAACCTTATGGGTATTGTGTTTCACATCCTAACTTCGTCTAGCAGCTTCTATAAATCCATTAATTACTGCTGTTGTAGAGATATGAACAAAGAATCTCCAAAGTGCCGGACAAGTTAATCGACGGATGACAATTGGCTTTCCATTCTCGTACAACATTTCTCAGTGGGTTTAATCACTTACCTACATTCGTATCGCGCCAGTGTGGCCTGAACCGACCGGTAGTATTCACTTGAGCCAGCCGAAACGGAAGCTGACATGTTCTGAAGTGCTGTTACCACCTCTCGGATGGTGTGATTCCGCACAACGGTGCACTGTTCGGAAGCTTTCTCTTTCTTCAACAGACATTTGTTCTGGTGTTGGCGAAAAACTAAAGGGAGAGGGTGGTTGATTTGAAGAGTGTATAACGGACGAATCAAGTACTGAGACAATGAAACCTTTTGTCACAAACTCACGTGACATCTTTCAAGATGGAACAAACCAAGTGCATCGAACAGAATGGATATGACGGGAAACGGACTCGTAGATCAGTTTAACAGCGGTGAATAATGGAAGGCTTTGTAAATTTACAAGGAAAAAACACTTAGCTATCCTAGTTTGATGCTATAAATATCTTATCGTAATCCCTAAAAAATTAGGGAGAGCTGTTCAGCATTAAAAGGCTAAATGACTGTCGGGAAGATTAGCCTCCTGCATATCCGAAACCTGCCGGAACGCCCCCACTTTATCAAAATCTCAACGGGGAAGTTGGAGGATACCCAGGTCAGTCAATCAACAGACCAATGCTCCAACCCCATCGATCAATGAAAGTACCATTCAAATAGCGTGAGGCCCCTTGTAATTGTTGCACCCGCTTGTTCACAATAAGGCTGCTGTATTTCTTAATGGCGAGTATTGTTTCAGCACTAAGACACTGGAGCTGGACAGCAGCAGGCATAACCGTGGCTTTTCGGTTGCGAGTAGACAAGGTCAAGTGCGTAGGCGTGGGCTCGGAGCAACAGCACGAAACATGCATACAGAAATGTGAGTAGACATGTGTCCATATGGACGGACGATGGTGCCTGTTATTGTGACTCTGAGTAGCATACTTTTGTGCGAAACGCTATAAACCTGAAAGTAATGTCGTGTCAGTCCATTAGAAGTCCTTACAAGAGAAAATGGTATATGGGGTAGTCTAGAGATGAGCACTATTCTGGAGAGGGGCACAGTTGGTCGTGGCCCAAGGGCAAGGCTACAGCGGACTCCCACGGTTGCCCCTGTTTCTCCCAGACCACTGAAGTTTCACATGACTTTTCGTCATGTACGGGGCCTTCTTGGGATTCTGTTGCAAAGAGGCTCATTAAATGCTTCTGGTTTTTCTGCATTTGAGTAGTACTACAGGGAATCTGTGCCATTCTTTTGGGATCACTTTTCTAGCTTGTAAAATTCCAGAACATCTTGAAAGACAAGACCCGGCTCCCGAATGCCTGAACCCGCTGAAGAGAAAACAGAATACTATGACATTATCTCTTGTCCTTGGTCGACTGCAATATAGAAGCAGCCGCTGGTCATAGAACTGCAATAAAGTGAGACATGAGATGAGTTGCTTTGGCCGATACTTTTGTGCAGTAGTATCAGTTGAAGATGGTAAACACCTCTCGACAAACACACCTATTCGCATATCAACTGGGTTTTCATGGAGGATTCAGTTGGATCTCTGAATCAACTGCATGTGCTCTACGAAGACTATCTTGTGTTTTAATTGTTACGGTATTCAAGATATCGCAGTTTATTTTCCTAAAGGAAACTACTGACAAGTGCGCTGAGACCTCGTGTGTAGAGACTAAGTTGAGCCACGTGTGATAACCAAATCGCTATGCAAATGGGTGCATTTGTAGAAATCTCTCAAGTTTGGGTTCTGTTAGAACATAATGTTGACGGAATCTCGGAAACTGCGTCTACCTGATGAGCCTCAAGAAGAGTGAAACCGGTCATGGGCTGTCAAAGTTTTCAGCAAACAGGTGAATAGTTTTCTTCATGAAAGGAACTGCCTGTTCAATGGCTTAAGATTCATATGCTTGAGGGCACATCAAGGATTGGCGATTTTTAAATGTTTGACATTTGTTGTTCCTTCATCCATAGTGTCTTTATTAGTGGAGATTTTCCTTCTGTCAAGTCGACCTTTGTTGGGATACAACCTGTCATTTTTGTCACCGTTCGATCTGAGGACTGCGACAACACTTTACTGCTTTTGTGTCCTGAATGCGTTACTAGCTGGACGTCATTTTTGGTGGCGAGAGGATTGGTTGTTGTAAGTGCTCCACAAATTAGAAAAATTCTGTTTAAAGAAATCCACAGGTGCACTGTGAGTCAAGCTGGCGAATTAGCTTAGTGAGATGCGAGCGTAGGGCGATAAACGCAATTCAGTTTGGGGATTGTGGAAAAACACAGGCTTTCCGCAATTTGTTCCAAATAGCGCTCCCGTGCACAAAGCCGGCTGTAAGATATATTGAACTGAGGGATACCTTACTGTCAGCCGGACACACAGAGTTGACCGCCTCCACAAGCATTGGGCTTACAGTTTTAGACACGCGAATACAGAACATGGTGCTCACAAAAAGCCGGAAGGTTGAACAAAAAAGACTTGGCCTAGTCGCAATACACCATCTTTATTTCTCATCTTTGCGTTAAAAGCTCACGGTGAATTGGAGACACTTTCTTTCAGCCGTCAAAGTGTGACTGGAACCTAGGGTGAAGATAATTCTCCGAATTTGGGTGCGACGTTTGCAGTTTCGGGTGTAGAATGAGAAAAAAAATTACGAACTGATTACTCTGTCCAACTGGTAAAGCACGTCAAACTACTACAGAGTGTGTACGTGTTCCTTCCAATATAATCAATAACCTCAGAGTTTTTTTATTTTGCTGGTTACGTGGATTAGCCAGAAGTTGTATGTAATAATTTTGATAGACTGTATTTACTCTAACCCTCGTGTAAATTACAATGTGCTAGTTATGGAGATTTTATCCCATAAGTAAAGCCGATATATTGGCTAAAAAGCCCAGAAGCGCTGTACAGCAGTGCGCATCCTGCGAAACTCCAGAGTCTCGAATCCGCGACCTCTTGGATAGTAGTGTAGACGCTTAACCGTTCGGCTACGAGCGGTGTGATTAACTCGCACTTGGACAGGATATAGCGCTGCTCATCCTTCAATCACTGGGTGCGCATCACGCGGACACACATGTTGACTGGCTCCTCGAGCAACGAGTTCCCAAATGGAAGTTTCACTCACCAGGTGAAGTTTATTCTTCGATTGAGCTGCTTATAAATTGTTGGTAGTGTGAGGAGATTTGGGATTTTTGTGTGGTAGTTTCCTTCTGTAAGTGAGGCCGGTCCATGCCAGCCGATGTACTAGCCAAGGGGTAGCGATCTCGAGACTCTATGGAGTTTCACGAGATGTCCATTGCTAATGATTCCCAATAAGGATGAAACAGTGGTACAGTGCTTCTCGGCTTTTCAGCATTGACTGAATAAGATCTCTACTGAATATTATGTATTTGTTTACTTAGTGTTATTCTAATGTTTCCTCTCAGGAGGACCTCCAACCGAGAGAGAACAGGTTCGGCTCAGGTGAACTCATTTATTCTCAGGAGAAGAAACTCATTCCAATTTGGTTTGACGCTTTTTAACCATCAGTCAATCCATTTTAGCCACAATAAAAGTGATTTTTTGCAAAGGGGTGTATCTCGCGACAAGACTAACTGGCTACTCGCAAATTTCCCACCTTCTCAGAGAGCTTTCGTAACACGACTGACATGCTCTTCCCACAGTACAAACTTTCAGACTCGCTGGAGGTAAGGAACGGTTTCAGAATCGCTGGGCAAATCGATGTCGCTTGAAACATGAATGACACAGTAAATCCCGGTTGTTTCCCAATAAAACGGAATTAACAGCTTCCAATTGTTTTTGCTTGGTTAGCACATACGCCCGAATTTCCCAAACAACTGGCTACCTAGAGGACCGTTTAACTACCAGTTTGTTGGCCTAGAGTCCACGCAAGTGATAATTATGAGGCTTGTGGCAAACCTAGAGAGAGTCACGTGCTCAGTTGAACGCCACAAGCGATAGTTTTGGTAATTTAAAATTTGAACGCGAACATCAGTCGATGGAACACCAGTCAGGACCTATTGCGCTGTGGTTTGTGATCAACCATAACTCCTTTTCAAGTGGTGGGTGATCGAACACATGCTTTGTGTTGTAAGGGGTTTGTTTGGTCAAATCAGCCCACCGTTATGTATTCATCCTCGGTTTGCTGAAGTACACATCGTTCTCTGTTGTTGTCACTACCAGTCTCAGTGATCCGCATTGGTTGTGTACATTGAATACCATATCAGCGTGTCCTGTCCCGATTTGAGGGCAGACGAGCACGAATATAGTACAACCTTTACTCTGTCGAGATGTTCTACTTTTGTGCCCACTTCACCAACCCAGTAGTGAACCGGGCTGCGTGAACTGATCCTTCTGATGGGCGGGGGGAGTGGTGAGATAAGGACCACTCTATTCGCCACAGTTTTTAAGCAGTCCCAAATGAACTCAGAACACCTAACTGATACCGGTTTGAGCATGTCGGTTAGTTCGTATTCAAACATCACCTGATTCTTTCATATAATCATCCAATCGACGAAAATTGTGAATGGCCCGCCACCAGTTTGGGACTCAGTGGGTGAGTTTAACATCCGAGCCTCAGCTTTCGTACAACTCATTCGCTTTCAACTGCACTTCGGCATATCAAGCGGATTATCGAATTATCGAATGAATAGCTTTGTATGGCTTTTGCATTGTTCTAAAAGACCTCCTGGCATAACCTCAAACCAAGCTAACCCGGATTTTATCACAAGAGATTTACTCATGTGTTACAAGCGACTGCGTTTCGTCAATCAGTTGCTTACGGGCACACAGAATACAATCCAAATTTTGGACGCAGTTGTATCACTATAGGCTCATTCGATCAGACTCATTTTTCCGGAAGTTCTGCTTAACCATAGGTTTGCGGATATCATTATGCTACTGCTTTGTTGTTTTACAAGATACAACGAAAATAATTTGGACGGAACAGGTGAAGCCAATCATGGGTTTGAAATAGTTCAGTGGCCAGGGTGCAAACTAATTGACTGGAAGATACGTGGTTCGAAGTAAACTTCGGCATCTTGACTGCTTGCTTGGGTAGCCTGAGAGTATCTCGAATCTCATCCTTTCTTCGGCTGGCATGGCAGCTGGAAGATCATCATCATCATCATCATCATCATCATCATCATCATCATCATCATCATCATCATCATCATCATCATCGAATCGTGCGGTCCAAACATTGAAAACGGAGGCTTGGAGATGGGAGCTCAGTGGTTTTGAGACGGCACTAATACGAGCCTCTTCCTATTTGTGTGCACCAATGTGGTGTGTTCTAAAAGGATACCGGTTGTGGTGTGTAGGCGGGCTTATCTATTCGGTGTCCGTTGAAGTCAGTTGAACACGATCGATGGGCCGGATACTTAAAACCACAACTGTCGTGGCCACCAGCTGCCGTTCATCTGGAGCCCACAGTTGACGTACAATCCTGGTCAGTGAACGTGGAACGGCCTACGACCTTTTAAGCGCCACCGAGCCTCTGGTCCGGGTGGCCTCCCACCCGCATTGTTGAAACATGGTGGTGAAGTCCTCAATCAGAGCTTGTCTAATCTGTTTGCTTGCATTTGGGAAAACGAGTCTGCCCCAGACAATTGGGGGGAGGGGTCGGCGGTGGTGCCCAATTTTCAAAAATGGAGCTCGTAGTAAGTGTGATAACCTAAGGAGAATCAGATTAACCCCGGTTGTAACGAGACTGCTGGCGTCAATTGTGCTTCGTCGCCTAATGATAGCTCGTGAAACACTGACTCGAGAGCGACACGCAGGATGCCAACCCAACAGGCCCTAGAACAACGCCATATGTATAAGCGTATTTAACCCCGTTGGCAGGTCTGTTATCCGTGACACGCTTGCTCCGAAAGTTTGTATTCTCAGTCTTCCGGACGTGTGAGAGTATACAGAGTGCTCTTCAAAAGCTTCCGTACACAAAGCAGCGTCCGTCGGGGATGCCCACCCTCCCCATTTCTTTTTAACTTCACGATCGGTGAGATAATGAGAAAAATCCTGGAAGGTCTCCAGATCCCTGGTGTTCAAATAGCCTCTGACGGAAACCTTGTCGATCTGGAATATGCAGACGATGTCGTTCCTATTTTCGAAGAGGACGAGAAGGCGCAAGTATTCTTGGATGAACTGCTCAAAGTCATCCCCACCTTTGGTATGCACTGCGCCCACAAAGTTTAAGGTCAAGCTCCTGGGCATGCAGTCACTGAACACGCCACTTATAATCCAGGGAGAGTTATTTGATGGAGCGTTTCGTTTTACGTATCTTGGAAATTGTATTAGTTCCGATTGTAGTGCTGCAGATGAGGTGAATGCACGAATCTGCAAGGCTCGGGCCGCGTTTGCAATTTTGGACACCTATGGCGTCAGAATGGTTTATCCCTGAATCTGAAAGGACGTGTGTATCAAGCTAAAGTACCGGCTATTTTGTTGTATGGATGTGAGACTTGGCCTATTCGAGCGGCGGAACTGAGACGTCTTTGTTTAACCACAAAAGTTCGCGTCATCGACTGCTAAGCATAATCTAAGTATCATTCACAGGGTTGATGCTAAAACAACTTGCAGGCATGTACTGCGCAAGCATAATCCGAGCTTTACTTTTTCATAATAGTAATAATAGTAATTGTAATTGTAAGAGACAGAGACATCACTGTTGACACTAACGCTTTATTGCCGTACACCCAATAAGCTTGTCTAATCATATTCAAGGGCTTAGAGTGCGAAGAGGAGAACAGAGTGGGTAAGGTACGGAACATGATGCTGGCATGCTTAGATGCCGAAAACTCCAAGGGCTCAATCAGACAATCTGAAAAAAACTGACAGCACCGATAATCACTGAAATCGATCTATCACCACTTGTGCTAATGCCTGTAGCCAAGCACAGGAAGAGTCATGGAGACCCAGTCTCGGACCACACCAAAAACAGCGATACACTTTCACACCTTTCTGTCAAGTCACATGTTGTCGACCAGGCGGTCGGCGCCACTTTGGAAGAGGCATGGAGAGCAACACCAGTCTTGGTAGGCGTATGTGTATCAAATGACCGAGCCATTGTAGTTGATTTCTCTGGACATTTTCCGCAGTTGAAGCACCTGCTGACCAATCAAACGCCCGTTTTCTAACTATCTCGATAGGAATCCGTTGGCATCATCTGACGACAGCAACGCTTCCGAGGCATGGGTGGTCAAACATCTGGAAATTCCTCGCACCATCTGCCTCAGAGGCCATCTGCAACCATACAACAACACGAGCCTTATTGATCCATGTGACCCTTGAGACCGAGTGATGTGCCGTTTCGAGGTCACAGGTGACTAAAATGGGCAAATGTGATTCGTATCCTTGAGGGGTTACTTGGTACTCAGTATTACCGACATTACCAATGATAGTATTGCAAATTGATATCTACCGGGCTTGTATACATAAAAAGCCTTGACTGAAACCTTGTTTCGGAGTCAAGAGCTAGATGTGATTTGCGCAAAGAATGATTTGACTTGAAACAAAATATTCACGTTTGACCTGTCCCTGAGCAACAAATGGGCTTACATTTCAAAGTTCATATTTACGTGAGATGATTTCTTCGTGGGTGGGCCATCTGACTAAACTGAAAATCTCACCGTTGACTCACTTCGTAAATTGTGTTCATGACACATGTATGCAGCTGCGCGTTCCAGCCTCCGGGTTTCCAGCGAGATCGTCCAGATTACCTGTTTGAATCTCTCTTCCTCGGAATTTCGACAAAACTCTTCAGATCGTTTGCGCATGCAGTGAAACACCAGTATGTGCCACTGGTTCTTTACTAAACTGAAAATCTCACCGTTGACTCACTTCGTAAATTGTGTTCATGACACATGTATGCAGCTGCGCGTTCCAGCCTCCGGGTTTCCAGCGAGATCGTCCAGATTACCTGTTTGAATCTCTCTTCCTCGGAATTTCGACAAAACTCTTCAGATCGTTTGCGCATGCAGTGAAACACCAGTATGTGCCACTTGGTTCTTTACCAAAGAATCGAGGAACCAACCCAAAGAGAACACGATAAAAAAAACAGGAATTAGCTGGGTGTAATCATTTAAGGGAAGTCCAGATCGTATTACGCAATATTTGAAAATAAGGCGAAATTCGAGTGAGCTTATTATCGCACTTGAAAGAACCGGAACAAG